GAAAATAATGTGTTTTTTGAACCTTAAACCGCATAAGCACATTTCATTACACCAAATACACAAAATAATGTTCTTTTTAGCAACATCATATGACCCCTTTAACACTGGGTTCTTTAGGAAGCTGAACAAGGTTATCTTTCCTTCACAACCAAAAACACACTTCTTTAGGTGACATTATTGGTTTTGTGATCAAAAACAAAATGTAAAATCCTTCTCGAGCAAGTCCTGTGCAGCACTGCCGATGACTTCCATAACCCGAATGAAGCACGTTGATGGGTGTACTCTTGCTTTCGCTCTGGTTTACATGTGCGCGATCTTCCAGGAGAAGTGCCCATACAAGGAATTCCGCCCTTTATGATGTCACACAGGGCTATACTCGAAAAAAACTTTCCGAAATTTATGCGAACCCTGAAGGAGTGTATTTGGCACAGAAATAATCAGTCATATGTCCAATTATTTTTTACTTTACTTTGGACATGTTTAGCATGAGAATCCAACTCTTTAAAAGCGTAAATAAATCAGAATGCAGGAATAAAGCAATAAGCCCCAAGAAGCCGTGGTTTACAGTGAATTTATAACAGCTAAGGGGTGTTGTTAAAACCCCCTTAGCTGTTATAAATTCACTGTAAACCACGGCTTCACTGGGCTTATTGCTTTTATAAAATGGTTATTCCATATACGTAGTAAGGTTTCACAAAATAAAACAGAGCAAATAAAGTGTAATGATATTAATAAAAACATTATTCTTCTGCCACACAATGTAGTTCCTCAGAAACAGTTGTGGTTGCAACAAAGTGGTTGCCAAGCAACACACAAACATAAACAAAGGTGTATGTTTGTAGAGTAATTTACAACAGCTTCGAACGTGGCTCAGCCAATCAGAATCAAGGACAGGAACTATCCGTTTTATAAATAGAATTAGACCTCCCCTTTAAATTCTGAATATGCAGAAGATGCTTCTAATTAAAGTAATATGAAAGTAAAATGGCACGGGAGATTTTTGCAAGCGTTCCATAAGGTGCTTTATCTTGGCCAGACAGCGGGGTTCATTTCAGCGATAGACGGAGTGAGATTTTTTGTGATGCCAATGTTTGATAGTGAACGCAATACACTGCGTTGCTAATTAATCTCAAACAGCCATATGGCTGTAAAGGGCAGGAATCACCCAAGCAACGAGTTATTTACAGTAATTATAACACGTGTTGTTAGGCTACATCTGAGGTGTGAGCTGATATATTTGTTTAAATAGGTCAAATAATCCTTAAAATAACTACTCTGATATTTATCTGCAGGAACTATCAATGCACAGATTGTCACAGAAGAAATATAAGACAGAACAAACCCTCTGCGTTTTTGTAAAGGAAATATCATGAACTGTCATGCTATGAGAGTATTATAAGACTCCATTTTAATTCTTAATTTAATGTTTTTTTTTTTCAGATATTATTACCAAATCCTATTGTGTTGTTGAAGATGAAACGGCAGAACTTGTACTGTACCCCTAAAAAAGAAATTTGGTCTATGAAAACGATCAGTGGGAAATATTGATTTCCAATGCCCCCTAGTGTGGTAAGATGTCGATGTTTAATACAGCAAAGCTATTCACAAACTTTGAAATCCAAGTTTTCTTTTTTTTTTAAGGCAAAAACCAACAAAGCATATTCATCTGTTAATGGCTGATGTGATCATTTTGAACAACTCTGACTTTCTTGTATACTTAAGTATCAATGTATTATTGCTTAGAAAATGTACCATTTGATTTGAACTCTTCACGGAAATGCAGTGATGAATATTTATACATAATGTGCAAATGCAAACTGTTTTCCTGTAATATAAATTGAGACACTAGTACAGAAAACAGTACAATTTTTACACCAATGATGGAGCGAAACAGTAAACATTGAATACTCTGAGATGGCTTCAAGGGAGAATGAGCCGTCACGGTCAAGATAAGTGTGTCTGTTTAGGGGGGAAGAGCTGCAAAGAGCCCAGTGAAGGACAGATAAAACATCTGCTTTGCACAGAGAGAACATTTCCTCTTAAATTACCTACCTACCTGACAAAGAAAATGTGATATCTTGCTCTCCCTAACTCCCCAAAGCCTGAAATAAAAGCCTCTAACATGATGAGAACAGTTATGAATAGGACCATATGAGACTCTTATCAAGTGTCCGATTACCTTTGTGCTGAAAACACATCCATTTTCTGTCTCCTGGAACATTAATAACGCAACGGAACTCTGAATTTATACTCATACAGTGTTGCACATCATTTTACATAAATATGATGTGTATGCTTTACATAGGTGCAAGGATATAGATGTATATGTATGAAACTGTGGTCAGTCTTAAGAATTATGGTAAATATACAAGTGAAGCCAGTCACTATCTAAGTGATATGAAGGTAACTGAAGCCACATCTGAGACCATAGAGACAAAGGGTATTAAAAAGCTACTCTGGTTTCCTAAGAAGCTTATAAAGAAGTCATAAAATATTCAGCTGGTAAATTACTTGGAAGTTGTAAGACTTGATAAACAAAGCGCTGCCTGCTTTCATTTAGCAGTTACGTAATTAAGAGATCTTCATAAAATAGTAACCAAACTCTATTGTTGCTGTAGTAAGAATGGAGGTTCAAAAGACTCCGGTGTGTCTCATTTTGCACAAAACGTGATTTATGGATTGCTTCAAGTTCAACTGTGTAGGCCTGTTTTTTATTCCCCAGGTGATACAAAAAAATTTGGGGCAATTTACTATTGGTGATACTACAACAAAGTGCGCAACTAAATTATTTTTAGCAGCAAGTCCGCAGAAAGACAAGCAATGTTTATATGAAAGTGTTCTACAACTGTAAACTTTTCTTTCTTTTTTGCAGACAGCTTATTTTACTTTTTAAATTGTTCAACTGGCATCTGCATCATTTACACTATATGAACAGCACCGGTTTAACATTTCTTGGTTTGCTTAATGTATCATACATAAACTAGCAATTTCTTTATATAAGTATATAGCATAACTTACCATTTCAGAGCCTATCTGCCATAAATATATTATATCATGGAAATTAAAATTAATGTACACAACAAACATCAACAGCAAGCAATACTCTTCAGGAGGAGGACAAACCCCCAACTTAACTCATAAAGCTTTGGCAAATGATTTGAATGCACTGATCACTTAACAATTGCACCTAACATGCTTCCAGTGCAATCCATTGATTTCAGTGCAACTAAAACAATACAAATAACAGCCATTATAAATGTAAAGAAAAGGAGTGTACGAGTTATTTGAACAGAGACTTACCTGCAAATGCCCCTGGTACATATTTAGTGGAGAATAAAAATGTCCCAGACTATGGATCGCAGTTAGATGAAAGCAAGAAATATGATGACACTTCTAATGTTCATGCGTGCGAGAGTGTTCTGAAAGTACTGAAAGAACTACTCTTGAATTTGAGTCCAGTTTAGGGAAGCCGACCCACTGGAGCTGTCTCGTGAATTAAGTGCTGAATTTACGCGCACGCGACAGCTTTCGTCACCGATGCACTTTATAAGGTGAGGAGGCTTCAGCGCAGCTGCTTCCAAGCTTGTTGTGCGCCGGCGAGTCTCTTCACCAAGTTGCTGAGGAGCGCGATAGATGCGCTGAACGCTCGAGGATGGTGCCTACGTCATAATCTCTGCCCCGGTGTGGCTCTGTGGGTTTTATCGTAGTTGGTGTGATTCTTCAGCAATTCCTCCCTCCTTTATCAGACACACGCTCTCTCTCGTCTTGTCGACTGTTCGTCCCCTCCTCTCCCCAGCCCAGCGGATTTAGGCGGAGCCGGTTCCGTCATTCACAGGAGCGTCGCTGCACGCGCAGATGCTCAGGCTCCAGGTGTTCTCATCGTTTTAATGTTCAGCTAGCAACTAACTTACTAAATCAAGTGAATGCCTCCGTCCTCCTCTTCGTGTGTTGTTCTTCTTCGCCTAGGAGCAAGGAGGCGCCACTTGAATTTGTTTTGTTACATAGGCCTAATAGTCAGTTGCCAGAAGTATGATAAGGCGACATAGCAGAAGACATGCTTATTCATTTTTTTTAATCGAAAGGGGAAAAAAAATGGTTTACTTCACTAAAGAAAGCATGTAAATCATATAAAATTGTTGATATCACAAAATAAATTGCACATAAATAATTGCACATAATAAAATGCATATAATATGAAAAAATGTTTTAATAATCAAATGCCTTATTAATTGCATATTTAAACAAACAAAACGTGTATATACATACACCATTGTGTTGCTTAGTATTTTTCCAGCATTTATTTAAAATAGAATATTTTTTTGTAAACGTAAAAGTCTTTACTGTCACTTTTGATCAATTAAATTCATTATATATAATATTAATCTTTTATAATTATATAATATTAATCTTCTTATTAGTTCTTATCTTCAATTAACTTTGGTACCACCCGACTTTAATTAAAAAATGATGTCTCTTAGTAATTTAAAATTTACACTAAAAATCCATGTTTTAAGCAAAGTAAAGATAAAAATTAAGTAAAGATATTAACACAAAGATTAATCCTGATTTCTAAAAAATACTGGCATTAAAGGAACTACATGGTTTGGAGGGTACTTATTCAATAAACAGAAGTCTATTCTGTTAAAATTCTTCTATGAGAATCTCTTCAAGAGAATGGAACAGTTTTTAAAATGTAGTATGAAAAATATGCCCTCTATTCAGTTCATAAAGAATGGTGATTAGATTAATGAAATATTTATAAGAGAAGGCAAGAATAGATCTTCATTTATTCAAATAATGTGTCTGCAGTAAGATTTTTACAATACTCTGAGTATGATGAATATGACCATTATTTAAAAAAATGCCAGCTCTATTTTTGTCCATTCCATTCCATTTGATGTATGATATCACCTTTACATACACTGTCATATTATACTGTCGACAAGTAACTGAATCTGTTGGGAGGCTTCATGGGTTGGGTTAGTATTCTGCCCTTGAATACAGTCTGACAGCTGTCTAAAAGGTATTAACACAACAGCATCATCATTTATCCCATATGAGAGTCAGAGACCTGTGTTTGCTGTCTGTGTTTGTGTGACCTGCTGCTTGTTTATGAGAACATGTGATGTCAGTGACAGATCTATGGTGCATGGCTGAGAGGGGTTTAGCTCCAAGTAAGGGTTCCCAGGCCTGGATGGGAACACTGATGTCACTCAATGACACTCAGGCTTGCAAACAGACCTGGACCAATGGAAAAAGTGATTGTATCCAGTGACATCACTAGGTTTGGGTGAGCTGTGGAAAACAAAAACAGAATACACGGATGTGACATCTTTTATGATCAATCTCAGGAAAAAATGTACAAAGCTGTTACTAGGGCAGTACCCCCTAGGGTACAAAAACTAGGGTACATCTTTGTACCTTATTTACCCCTAAATGGTACGTATTAGTACCTTAAAGGTACATATTAGTACCTAAATGTGCATATTATTACCATTGGAAAGGATATCGCCCCAGTGATAGTTGTGTACCTTCTTTTCTGAAAGAAAATGATTGGCAATCTGAGTTAATGTGATTTTTTTTTAAATCTTTTTTTTATTTATGCTTTGACAACTGTAATAATGCATGCATCTGTGTACAATATGATGCTTTCAGCTTTCTGCCATTTTGATGAAAGATGAAAATGACAAATTAAAAGTTATTTTTGCTCAAACTCAATGATCTAAGAAAAGCACTTATGCTAAATTGAACTGACACTTCTCACCCCACTGTTTTCTGACAAATACTTGAACTTTGTTTTGATTTTTTTCTCACATTTTGTCCTCAATTTTTGCTAAAAGGATACAAAAGATAATTTTTAAACAATTATTGCTGCAATAATCTCTTTAAGTACATTAACTGACTAGCATGACAAAGTATTCAAGGTAAAGCGGTGATTCTAATCTTTTTCAAAAAGTAGTTTGTTGGGTTTTTGTTATAAATATGAGGTAAAAGATAATTGTGATGAACAACTGCTCCCTTTACTTAAGTGATATAATGTAGATTGAAGTAATATAAAGCTATAAAACACACTATTCATAGATAATGTTTCCCAAAAATGCATTCTGATGCTTCAGGAACAAAATTTCCGTAGCATTCAGTTCTCTCGTAAATGCCACCAATATGTCACTGAAGATAATTTAAAAACAATATCTCTTTGTAAAAGGATAAACAGATTAGACTGCAGTAATTGTCAGTCGTGTTGTAACTCAGTATGCTGGAGGGATTTCTTAGACATCCTGTACTCATTAAAAAGGAGGGCATGATTTATTATTGTCTATAATTAAAATACTGAATCATAAACGATTGTTCACTGCATTTGCATGTTAAATTTGAGTGATCTCCTGTTTCCAATCATGTAGTACTGTCTATGTAACGTAAGACTGATGATTCTGCTGGATTATTGATCATAAAAACAAAGAGAGAAAGCATCAACCCAATACAAATAGTCCCTGAGTCGAAATGTACGTAACTAAGCGAAAAGAGGAAGAGAGATGCTCAGACTATCTATCATTGTAATGAATACTGTCTGCCTACCAGACCAACGTTTGAAAGCTAATTTGATTCACCATTGATGCTTTAAATGAATAGTTATGACAAGTGCAACAGCAGGTCTTGCTTTTACAGCTTGTTATTGCTTTATGTATTGTGTGGAATCTTGTGAGACCCCTCTACCGGCTTTCAACAGTATTTAAACATTAAGACACAGCAGCTGGAGCCATTAATATCACTTTATTACACAGTTTCTTTTTGAACTATAGCTACACGTTAAAGAGATAATTCACCAAAAAAAGGAAAATCTGTCAATATTTGCTCATGTCATTCTATACCAGTTGTGGTTGTCAGAACGTTACCTTAAAATATAGTAGCAGCATTTTGGGTTTTATGGAATTAACCTAAATTTACAGTTAAAAAACTGTATGATATTCTAAAGTACTATAATCTGTTTTGCACCCTGATAATATGCTAATACCACCATAAAGCCACAGGTGATAATAATAATCCAAGTTCATCATAAATAGCTTTTCCACAAATGTAGGTAAATACTAATGGTGGGCAAAAACACACCTGATATGAATTTTATGTAGAATAGGTACATCGTCATCTTGCTTCAAAGTGATTTGAACAAACATGACATCCTAATTATATGAATTCCCAACTCGTAAATACAAACTTTGCAGGAAGTTTTGAATGCACCATAATATACTGAAAGTGCAGTGCACTTATAGTGCACCATACTATACTGAAAGTGCACACATATACAAAACATTATCATGACACAAAAATTATGCAATCAACATAATTTAACAACATAAGATGTAAAATAAAACCCTATTGTACATAACTAATAAAAAAAAAAAAATCTGAAATGTCACACTGGGGATTCTGGGAAAGTCAATTTATGGTTTTCACTGTAAATTATAAGTTGAACTCCCAAAACAATAAATTTAACAGTATTTTACTGTAAAATTGCATGAAATGTCCAGTTGCAATAAACATTTTTTTACTGTATTTTTGCAGTCTTTTACCATTAAAATTAGGATAATTTTTACAGGTATGTACAAAAATTCTTGAAATATTCCACGAAATATACTTTTTGTTGTTTGCAGATGAAAGCAAGTTATACAGGTTTGAAACAACATCAGAGGTAATGCAGTTTTGGGTGAACTCTTTCCTTTAAATAGAGACCAGGAAACTCCATACAACAGGGACTCTAAGTATATATATCAGACACAATGAGCTTCTTCTACTGTCAATCAGAACTGGCCCTGTGACCTCCCCACCAGCACACTGACAGAGCCATAATTAGCTGTCTGCTGTCTATAACACCTCACACCTCAGCACATTCAGTAGCGTGTACACATAAAAAGAGTTAACGTGTATCCCCACCATCATTTGCTTGAAGCCGCCACATCTGACAAAGCAATGTTAACAATGTCACTGTTTTAAATTACATTTTTTTTTTATCATCTTTCTGCTCCATTTAATGTGTTTGAAGTATTTTTGTATTTCTCTGGGGGTAAATGACAGCTTTACTTAATTTGAAAGCAATGATAGTAAGACAAAAATGAAAGTTGGACTGAGAGGGAACTGTGGATCTTGAGGGATTTAGAGCCCATGATCTCATTTCCTTGTGTATTTTTAAAGCCCAGATGATCCATCTTGGGTCTATAAATTTAAATCTAAAAAAAAGAGAACCATGAAGCACCTTGCGAAAGCTTGACGTGAGGAGTGCAGTGCTGCTAATGAACTTTGAAATGGGAGTGAGCGGCAAGGGCTATCAATTATAATAACAGCCTCCCCCTCTTCCAGACAGAGCAGCATCCGTCCCCATTATGGTCCAACACCTCCGCCATGTTTAGCCTCATTAAGCAACTCTCCTCAATAAAAACGAGGGCCAAAGGCATCATCACACGGATGCACTGTTTGAAGTCGATAGATTCACATTTTGGAAAAGTCACATATTTATATACTCTGGCATATTTTAATATCATTATGACAAATGTCCTCAAAACTCCTGTAATGTCAGTCACAACACAC